CAAAAGAGCCCTGAAATGCACCCCTTGAAGCAGGAACTCCACGGAAATCCCTGATCCAGCTGCACTCAGGTTTGAGCTGAGCCACTCGAGCTGCACCGGGCCGCCGGCATTTGGGCAGGTGGAACCTCCGCCCTCTCCGGAGGGCCGTGGAGTGCCATAGGAGATGTGGGCCCAATTGGACATGTAGCTCAACTGCTCAACTTTCGTCACTTCGAACATCCAGCAGATCCAGCTTCTTGCGCCAACTAATTCTTCAGAATGGGAGCGCTAACTAATTCTTCGCGTCGTGAAAAACAGCATCATCACCTGCAGCCGCCTGTAGATCGTGACAGGGCCCATGGCATGCCATTGGGGACAAGAAGTCTAAGAAGTCAGACTACCTACCCCGGGTCGATTGAGCTATCAAGTTGTTCTCAACCCATTCTCAGTAGAGTTTCCCACCGGCACCGCCGGAAACGTGGCGTGTGCGTTTCCGGCATGGCTTCTTCTTTGGTGGGAGACTTGGAGCAGATCCCGGAGAGCCTTGCTGTTTCCTTCCAAGAAACAACCAGGCCATCAGCCCCCCCCCAAAGAGATCGAGACAGGATTTTCCCTCGGTTGAAACAAGACAGGGGCGTGCTTTTTTCATTGGTGTTCATACGTGTTCATCCACTTCATCCATCCTTAATCCTTGAGCCTTGGGATTTCAAACGACCCAGGCTCGCACGAAGTGGGTGGCCCCTGGGATTTGCGGCTCTTCCTGCGAAAGGCCTCTCTGCAGCACCTCCGACCTCACGCGGGACGGAAAGAATCCATCGGTCCGAAAAAGGACGATGCTCCTCTCAGTCTCCAAGAGGCTTAGCAGGTCAGGTGCTCCCCGCCAGTGGGGTGATTCGGTGAAGACCCCCCGGATCCACCAAGATCCACCCAACCAGTTGGCTCAGCTTTGACATGTTCACCTGTTGCCCCTACAAAGGAACCACCGCAGATGTGATGATTTATGTGGAAGGGTGAAAGAATATTTAAAGATGTGACAGATGGATGCACATGCTGGAGCTCTTTTTCGGGTCATGTTCAACCAATGGACGTCAAGGGGATGTTGGTGTTACATTTTCTGTGCACTCGGTGGACTTCTTTGAGAGACAACGGCAGGACATCCCTTAGGCCGGCCAAAAACCTCCGAAACCTAGTCGGTCCTTGACCCAGGCGAGCTTCAAGCAGTGCATTGTTTATTCACCGCCGCAAGATGAGGAGCAAGACGGCAAGACGATCTCTTTTTGGCATAGGGAAGTTCAGACACTGAAGAGCATCATGTCAGAATAGATCGAGTAAACTGCCCCAAGGCCAAGTAGGCGGAATCCAAGGCCCGCACCGGGTGGTCAGTTGGCACTGCATCGCCGCTGGCCTTTTTGGTTTCCACTTTATTCCACTTCGCTGGCAGGAGTCCAGCCCTAAAGCCTGCAGCCCTTCCTCTTTCTTTTTGAAGTCCTGCCGCCACTTGTGCGAACTGAGGGGCGGACCTGATCAAAGAAAGAAAGGTCTAAAGAAGACAGTTCTTAAAGAAAGAAAGTACATTCAACAAAAAACACCTCTTGCGAGAAAACCCCAGGCAGAGCTCCAGGGAGTTTCCGGTCCTCTTTGGATGTGCGAAGTGACAAGCTTCATCAAAGTCCCATTCGATATGCAGTTGCAAAGATTCTGACAAGACCCTGAGCACCCTCACTGACAGAAGGATGCTATCATGGGAAGAGACAGATAATCCTTCTCGGATTTGGGGAATCTGGGGCCTATGATATCCGACGATTCTCCACCAGGTTTTCAAGCTATATGCTTCACCAACAGAGCCACCGGCCACCCCTGAATCAAAGCCCTGCCCTTGGCCTACTCTCGGTGCGCCAAAGAAGAAGCGTCATTGATTCTCTTCCAAGTTGCATGGCAGGATCCCTACCAAAAAAGATCCGTTTTTAGTATATAATATAGTACTTAGCAGTACTCAGTACACATCCAAAAGCTGTGCTTAAAGTTGAGTAGGAGATAGTAGGAGCTTAGAGAACAGTCGTGCCCAGAGCTTCTGAACTGAACAAGGTGATGACATGGATGAATGGAATTTTGTTTAGGGTGAAGGCCATCGCTAGGTTGGAGGCCATTCCATTGGAAGGTTCTGAGAAACCGCCCTTCCGGTCCGGACTCCTGGCTGCCAATGACAAAGAGTCGGCCGGTTCCCCACTGTTGCATCCGACCCATGGAAAGTGCACCTGTAAAACCTTCAAACTTGGGGATTGGGGATGGTTCTCTAAACAAGAGCAGGTGATAAGTTCGGATCACCATTTTCGTTCAAAATCCGAGGGAGTCAGGGATACCCCACCATAACTTGTCTTCAGTTTCTCCCGGCCTGGCGGGCAGCCATTTCATAGAATATCCCAGATCGGGCGTGTTTGATTTGCAAACACGGCTTTGGGGGTCAATGTGATGATATCAGTGTTGATTTCCATCAACGGGCGCACTGAACAAATGAACAATTGCACACTCTCACGACATAGCATGTGGTGAGGCGTGCGCTACTCGGCACCTTGGCTGGAACTCGGGTGGAGCTTCCTAGGCCTCGCAGGGGATTCTGCCTTGAGTGGTTGATAGAATCAAGGGCCGATCTAGATACAGTGGAATTTGCATTCTTGGGCCACTGTCAAGAAAACGTAAGAAGACATCACCAAGGCGACATTTAGCAGACGTTTCAGGGTCCAAACCCTCTTGTGAATGATTCTCAGATAACCTATAGTGACTCGTGACCTAGTGAAAGAATATGAGTTGGCTCCTTCTTCCGTGACTAGACGGCCCTGTGATGCACAATTAAAAGTCGTCCCTCGGTGCCCAACAGAAGTCCACCGAATTGATCTGATGCGATGGGAGGCCACGTCCAACAAGTGATAACCCGCACTCGACCTCCGGAGCTACCATAGCTGAATCGACCCCGCTGGCCATGCAGGTGACGCCAATTCAACTCGTGTCTCTCTGTCCCGCGAACTCGTGAGGAACTTCAAGCCGCTCCGTTCGTTCGCAGCTCATGCCCTTTGTTACTAGTAGCGTCCTTGCTCCTAGCGATGCCCTTTGCTCCTTGTATCGTTCTTGCTCATAGTAGCAAGGCCAGGAGTCCAATAGGAAGTTGAGGACTGGAGCGTTCTTCCAGTTGAAGTGCGTTCTTTGTTTCTCCCCATCTGGGTCCCGACAATGGCATGGTACCAAGGTGGTTGGAGAAGAGGTACAAGTAGCTCCTTGGTAAGCGCCTAATGATCGCTGCTGGGGGTGCTGGAATTTGGCGGGGGGGCTAGAGCTGACTCTTTCGGAGGCTTCACGCATCTCTGACTGAAACACTGGCCAGTGGCCGCCAGTGAATGATCCTTTTTGCTGCCAAAATCGTGCGAAGTGCTTTGGGCGTTTGGAACACATTCTTTTTATCCAAGGGTTTTGGACCATGGGGACGAAGTCATGGAGGAAGTCTTTGAAGAGTTGCTGTGCGAACCACCTCCCCCCATTACCAGTTTTAGTCGGGAAAAGGATGGTAAAAGGGGACCAGGATCACTATCTTTGACAGCTTTACTAACCATCGTTCACTGTTGCCGGTAATGGGATATACCGTACCCAAATTGAATGACTTAATGTCCTCAAATGTGGTGCTCTACGAAGTCCTTGGCCTTTGCAAGGATGTGCTGAGCATCAATCAGGAGCACCAGCTGCTCAATTTGGATGGCAGCCCTTTGCTGAAGCACACCTCCACCTGCACCGATACCCGGATGAATGCCAGTATTTGAAGTTTGATGCTAGCATTGCTAGCATGTAAAGTTCTTCTCAAGCAGGTAGCCATTCGACCAGGCATGTTCAAACTTTTTTCTATTTGCTTTGAGGATCGTTCGGGGGTATTTGTGGGGGGCCGGCAGAGAATATAGCTAAGAATCTTAACTTAAGATGTATCAAGAACCTACATGATCAACATGATGGCGGAAAAGACTGTTTGCTGTCGCAGTAGCTTGACATCATGCAGATTTCCGTAGATTCCACATTTCCAAGCTTTCTATCGGATCACCTTTTCCGTCTTTTGATGATGCTATCGGGCCACATCAGGTTTTGTTCTCCTCACCATCGAGCTGTCGGCCACATCGAGTCCGCGCGGATCTGACTGGGACGTTTCACAAGGGTGAATGAGAGGCATACACCACATCCCCATCAACGTAGATGACAAATGATCACCGACCAGTTGGAAAGGTACCCAAGCCAACCCAGGCACTACCAATTTAAACTTGCCATGTAGTTTTGGGCGACCATTCACTGTCGATTTTTGCATGTTTGCATGATGCTTGGCTGCTCACTGAGGATTGTTTGCCCTTCGAACGCCTCAGCGGCCTCCTCAACACCACTCGCCGCTGCTGCGCGTGTTGCGCGGCCAGTGTGCGGCGTTTGTTCCGCCGCCCACGGGCGGTGGCGGCGGACTGAGCCGAAAAGAACGTGGACGGGGATGGATAGGTCAGTTGGGTCTGAGTGCCCTCATGTGCCCCTCCAAGGCCAGGTTGAACATTCATTAGACAGGAAAAAGCACTTTCCTTTATATTGTGTGTCCTGGTGTCGGCCCGAGCCTTCCAGGCGTCCACTGATTGAATCTTCAGTCATCAGTTTTTTTAGCTATGTCACGTACAAAAAATATTGAAATATCGCACAACTGATTAGTACATGAGCTCTCTCGCTTAAAGCGTTGGCTCGTGTGCCTCACCTTCTCAGCACCCATCTCTTCCAACTGTTGCTCCCTCGTTTGCTCTCTCTTTCTTTCTTTTCCAAGTCCCTTTTGCAAAGCATAGAAGCTACTAGGAACAAGTGCATCGCTACTAGTAACAAGTGCCTTACTACTAGTAACAATGTTTGCATATGTTTGCTAGTAGAAACAAGTCCCTTTTGCAAAGCCTCTCGTTGACGGATCCCATGTCGAAGCAATACGACCTCCTGACTCCTCGAGTTGGAGCAACACGACTCGTCAGGCGGCGATCGCCGGTGACGGCCTCTCCACGGTCCAAGGCGGCCCAAAACGAGAAAACGACGCCGAAGCGCCGCCATGAGACGGAGCAAATTTGTGGGACGAAGTGGAGGAATTTGGATGGTGACTGCGGCTTATTTGGTTTATATCTGGAGGATCACAAGAATTCAAGACATTGACCATCAACATCAAGAACTATAGTTGTTGCTCAGACGCACTGCAATTTCAGGACTCTTAGAGCCATTCCAAGGATGGCAATTGAGCAATCGAGCAATGTGAATTTCCCGGGTCGAGGGGAGGGGCAGGTCATACGTTTGGTCAAAGACCTCAAGATGTTTCAGGGGTGGACCTTCAAGATCTTCAAGACAGGTGCTACCCTGCCGCGATTCCCACCCTTTTCTTGTCCCGTCTCGTTCCTGAGGATTCGTTTTGGCCACGCCTTACACTTCTTTCGATGGCTTTCTAAAGGCAGTTGCCTGATATGCCAGACATGTACGTAGCTAGAGGCTGCTCAACAGCTCGCCCGGATGCAAAAGCCCAACCACCTCCTTTGCTTCAACCGATGGACAGGCAGCACCGGCTCAGCCTCCGCCTGGAAGGCGACTGGAACAAGCGGCATTCAGACCCACTCCTGGATTCTCCTGGCCTTGAGGGCTGTACCAACCTATCCATTTGGGGTATAGATTGGTGGTGAAAGGTGTCTTTCCCGAAAGCAATGAGCCACAACCTGAAGATGTTGAAGATGGGTAGAGCAGGCGTTAATCCTATACTAGTATTCGGCAAACCGCAGCAGCGAGCTCTGACCCGCGAAGATGAATAGCATCGTCATTTTTTGTTTGCCTGGACTCATCCAGTTCAAGATCAGTTCAGTGGTTTGAGGCGCAACTCGAGCCTCCAAGATGGATCCTAAGCGATCTGATCTACCCCTACTCAGGATCAATGTCTGCCCCAAGCGAGATGTATTGCAACCTCCGGAGCTGGATGGCCTTTCTGGGAACCTGCTCGTTGAGTCGCCAGAGAGTCCGACTGACCGCACCACTGACCGCCCGCCCGAGTCCTTCCATCGACTGCCGTCATCGTTTGTCATCATCAGCAAGTCTCTGACCTTGCAACGAAAGCCATAGGAACAAGGACGCTACTACATAGGGGCTCCTGGCCTTACTACGAACGGAGCGATCGGACGTTACGTTCGGGGTTCCTGGCATCGCTACGAACGGAGCATTCTTACTACTAGTAACAGGGCGTCGAAAACCGCCGATCGCCGCGAAGATGGGCCGACCAGTGACGACCGTACCTCGCCCCGCGGCGAGGTACCAGTACCCTTCGGAGATCTCCAGCGACGAGGGCCCGTCGGCGTCGCAGGTGGCGGGGGAAAGACGGAGCGCAGCGAGATCCGCCGCGAGATCCAAGGCAGTCATAGCGGGAGAAGGTTTATCCCTCTTGCGTCTTGCGACATCTGAATAGATATATGAATAAGTATAAGGAATAGATAGATTAATAGATAGTCAGTCTCTTTTGAGAAGTGGAGATTGCAGATGAATACATTGTTCATAATCGTTTCATTGTTTCTTTTTCCCGAAAGCATTGCGAAGGGTTCTTCCGGAAAATCTCTTGAACACTGACTGACACTTCTACACTTATACTCACACAGGGACACTTCCACACTTGCACTTGAACACTGACATTTCGACACGTACACTTGAACACTTACGCTTCCACACTTACACTTGAACATGAACATGAAGACTTACACGTCTATACACGTCTATACGTATCCAAGTGTAATGTAAGTGTGAGTATGGAAAACTTGCACGGGAGATGTCCTAATGACTGAAACGAAAAACTTGCACGGGAGATGTCCTAATGAAACACATTTCCCCACTTTATATAAATTCTCTCTTAAAGGCGGAGGGTGGGACGAACAGCGTCAACCGAAAATGCAACCCTCTGCGGAGATCGTGCGTGTCGAGTGCGCGAAATGCAGGCGAGAGTGCGATTTCGCAACCCTCTGCGGAGATCGTGCGTGTCGAGTGCGCGAAATGCAGGCGAGAGTGCGATTGGGTCTGTGCCCGCGCAACCCTCTGCGGAGATCGTGCGTGTCGTGTGCGCGATTTAAATGCAGGCGAGAGTGTGATTTGGTCTGTGCCCGCGCAACCCTCTGCGGAGATCGTGCGCGTCGAGTGCGCGGAATGCAGGCGAGAGTGCGATTGGTGCGGTCCGCGCGCAACCCTCTGCGGAGATCGTGCGTGTCGAGTGCGCGAAATGCAGGGGAGAGTGCGATTGGTGCGGTTCGCGCGCAACCCTCCGCGGAGATCGTGCGTGTCGAGTGCGCGGAATGCAGGCGAGAGTGCGATTGGTGCGGTCCGCGCGCAACCCTTTGCGGAGATCGTGCGTGTCGAGTGCGCGAAATGCAGGCGAGAGTGCGATTGGTGCGGCCCGCGCGCAACCGTCTGCGGAGATCGTGCGTGTCGAGTGCGCGAAATGCAGGCGAGAGTGCGATTGGTGCGGTCCGCGCGCAACCCTTTGCGAAGATCGTGCGTGTCGAGTGCGGAGTAGCTGGGGAGCTGGAAGATGAGAACTGGTGACTTGGTAGTACGACTTTAGTACGCGGAGTATCTGGGGAGCTGGAAGATGAGAACTGGCGACTTTGTAGTGCAACTGTAGTGCGAAGGTGTGGGGAGCTGGAAGAAGAGAACTGGTGACTTGGTAGTACAACTGTAGTACGCGGTGTAGCTGGGGAGCTGGAAGATGAGAACTGGCGACTTTGTAGTACAATTATAGTACGCGGAGTACCTGGGGAGCTGGAAGATGAGAACTGGTGACTTGGTAGTACAACTTTAGTACGCGGAGTATCTGTGGAGCTGGAAGATGAGAACTGGAGACTTTGTAGTACAACTTTTAGGCGGAGTATCTGGGGAGCTGGAAGATGGGAACTGGCGACTTGGTAGTGCAACTTTAGTACGCGGAGTATCTGGGGAGCTGGAAGATGAGAACTGGCGACTTGGTAGTGCAACTTGACTACGCGGAGTTTCTGGGGAGCTGGAAGATGAGAACTGGCGACTTGGTAGTACCACTCTAGTACGCGGAGTGTCTGGGGAGCTGGAAGATGAGAACTGGCGACTTTGTAGTACAACTTTAGTACGCGGAGTAGCTGGGGAGCTGGAAGAAGAGAACTGGTGACTTGGTAGTACA